TTAAAATGAAAAAAAATAATTGGTGATGTAATATTTTCCCTATGATTATTACAAAAACACAAAATAAGTATTTATATTTTGTGTAGGCTTTGTTTTTAGGGTTATTAAAGTTTGTGTACTCAGACCAGTAATATTTGGGGTCTCAAGTTTTTGCAATGAATATTTTGTGGGTCAGAAGCTGAAAAGTTTGGGAACCACTGCTCTACTGAACCACAGCTATTTGTTATATTAGTGAACGTGAAGTAAGAGCCTATTTTTGTTTTTGTAGCTATTTGTTAAATTATTTTTCAGTCACTTTTTAGGATAACAAAAACAATCGTGATAGTAATTGAGATCGGGCGATATGAAAAAATGAATCGTGATCATTGTTTTCCCATATCGCCCAGCCCTGGTGACAAAACACTAAGTGCTGTGAGCCGGTTGCACTACTTTCCTCTCTCCTTCAGCCCTCCCGTCCTGACACACTCTCAGATACGCCCTGGAACGTTCTTCCCACTGACTCACCTGATTGGTTGCCTGGTCCAAGGTGTTTCTGGTTGTCACAACTGTTGGATGTTTAGTTGTTGTCTGTAGGGACTATAGATGTAAATTAGCATTAGGCTAAATCTGGTGCAATGCATCACATGTTTTTATGTTTGTTTTAATTGCATTCTGTTCAGATTAAATTAAAAAAAAATGGAGTCAACTTGAAAAGCCACCTTATGAGAGACACAAATAAATTTTTAATGTTACTGTTACAGATCAAAGGTTTTGTGTGTTAGTAGCTAACACAGATTCCAAATGCATATAAAGAGCTGAAATAGATCGCACGAGATCTTTGTTTTTGTCTGTAACAACTAAGAATCAAGCTTGTCTGTTAACAAAACATTGCATGGACCACTGGAAATTTTAATGAAACTTTGAGGCCATCATCATTAGATGTACACCTACAACTGATTGACTTTTGGAGCCAAAACATATTTAGATGGCCACCTTACAAAACACAAAAATAACTACAGCTCAGCAAGTTTAATAAATTTTGTTTAATAAATATTGTTTAAAGTTTGGTGTTAGTAGCTGACATTCACAACACATAGTCCAAGTTCTTTTCATTTTTTAAGATCTTTGCTGAAACCTGTGACAGTGGTCCTCAGCCCTTGTCCATGAGGGACACTGTCCTGCACAGTTTAGATCAGTATTTCCCAAAGTTGGGGTCGGGACCTAAAGTGGGGTCCCGAAACATCAAGGTGGGGTCCTGAAAAGATTTTCTGAATTAATTACATTTTTGCCT